AATCATTAAAAAATCTGGATACAACAGATGCTGGAGAGGATGTGGAGAAATAGGAACACTCTTACCCAGTTGGTGGGAGTGTAAACTAGTTCAATCATTGTGGAAGACAGTGTGGCGATTTCTCAAGGAACTAGAAATAGAAATTCCATTTGACCCAGCAATCCCACTATTGGGTATATACTCAAAGAACTATAAATCATTCTACTATAAAGACACATGCACACTTAGGCTCATTGCAGCCCTGTGTACAATAGCAAAGAACTGGAACCAATCCAAATGCCTATCAATGATAGACTGGACAAAGAAAATGTGGTACATATACACCATGAAATACTATGCAGCCATAAAAAATGATGAGTTTCTGTCCTTTGTAGGGACTTGGATGAATCTGGAAACCATCATTCTCAGCAAACTGACCCAAGAAAAGAAAGCCATGCACCGTATGTTCTCACTCATAGGTGGGTGTTGAACAATGAGACCACATGAACTCAGGGAGAGGAGCATCACACATAGGGGACAGATGGGGGGTGGGTAGGGGAGTGACAATGACGGGGTGGGGAAGGTGGGAAGGAATAACATGGGTAGAAATGCCAGATATAGTATGTACCTAAAGTAAAATAAATAAATTATTAAAAACTTTAAAAAAGGAACCCAGAAGCCAAATGACTGTATGTCAGTGATGTTGCTGTAAGCATGCCTTACTGAAGGGAAGGTGGGGACTGCTGATAAAGAATCTTCAGACTGAAGGGATGCTAAAATTTAATGACTACGTAATCATAGGAGATTCTGACTTAATTTAAGATAGAATTCTGTGTACAGAAAGGTCAGGGTAAAAATAAATAGAAAAAATATCATTCAAAGTTTTTAGGATTGCCTACTTTAGCTTGTTATAAACAAACATGTCTGCCAAATGGAGAAAACAAACAAACAAACAGAAAAAAACAAAGGGCTGATATCTAGAATCTACAAAGAACTAAAACAGATTTACAAGAGAAAAAACAAGCCCATTCAAAAGTGGGCAAAGGACATGAACAGACACTTTACAAAAGAAGACATACATGAGGCCAACAAACATGACAAAATGCTCATCATCACTGGTCATTAGAGAAATGCAAATCAAAACCACGTTGAGATATCATCTCACACCAGTTAGAATGGTGATCATTAAAAAATCTGGAGACAACAGATGCTGGAGAGGATGTGGAGAAATAGGAACACTTTCACACTGTTGGTGGGAGTGTAAATTAGTTCAACCATTGTGGAAGACAGTGTGGCGATTCCTCAAGGACCTAGAAATAGAAATTCCATTTGACCCAGCAATCCCATTACTGGGTATATATCCAAAGGATTATAAATCATTCTACTATAAGGACATGTGCACACAAATGTTCACTGCAGCACTGTTTAAAATAGCAAAGACCTGGAACCAACCCAAATGCCCATCGATGATGGACTGGACAAGGAAAATGTGGCACATATTATACACCATGGAATATTATGCAGCCATCAAAAAATGATGAGTTTGTGTCCTTTGTAGGAACATGGATGAACCTGGAAACCATCATTCTCAGCAAACTGACACAAGAACAGAAAATCAAACACTGCATGTTCTCACTCATAGGTGGGTGTTGAACAATGAGAACACATGGACACAGGGAGGGGAGCATCACACACTGGGGTGTGTCAGGGGGAAATGGCGGAGGGACAGCAGGGGGTGGGGAGTTGGGGAAGGATAGCATGGGAAGAAATGCCAGATATAGGTGTTGGGGAAAAAGGCAGCAAATCATACTGCCACGTGTGTACCTATGCAACAATCTTGCATGTTCTTCACATGTACCCCAAAACTTAAAATGCAATAAAAAATTAAATAATAATAATAAAATTTTTTAAAAGAAGGTATAGATACCTTGGCAGCTATCTAGTGCTCTCCTGAACACTTCAGTCCATGCTTCTCAAGAAATGTGAAAAGCTATCCTTCAAAGTTACACTACACTCTTCCTTAAAAATCAAGAATATAGAGTTAAACTTCAAAGGGAAGTTTTCCTTTGGAACACAGGCAATTGGCTTTTCGATCCAGTATTATTAGGACAAATAATTCAAATATGCTGTAGGTTTTCATTCATAAAGTGGCTTTTGTGGACTGGGCTGGAAGCCCAGCCTTTCTTTATGTATATGCACATTTGAATGTGTACCAACACTTACATATATGAAGTGTAACTTATTTTAATCATGGAACTGTCTGTAATTTTAACACAGGTCTGATTCTAACAGTATTACTACCTATAAACAGAAAGATCAAAGACATATCTCTTTACCTATATAAAAGTACTGGGTAGTAAAACAGTAACACTATCATTTACTGAGGGTTGTCAGGCATCAGGCTAACAGACTCTAAATTTATTATCTTGGGTGGGCACAGTGACTCATGTTTATAACCTCAGCACTTTGGGAGCCCCAGGCGGGCGAATCACTTGAAGTCAGGAGTTTGAGACCAGCCTGGCCAATATGGTAAAACCCTGTAGCCAGGCATGGTGGTGCGCCACCTGTAATCCCAGCTACTCGGGAGGCTGAGGCAGGAGAATCATTTGGACCTAGGAGGCAGAGGTTGCAGTGAGCCAAGATCGTGCCACTGTACTCCTGGGTGACAAAGCAAGATTCTGTCATTCATTCATTCATTCATTCCTAAATAAATTCTTTTTTGACTGCATGTGGTGGCTCACACCTGTAACACCAACACATTGCGAGGCTAAGGCAGAAGGATCACTTGAAGTCAAAAGTTTGACACCAGCTTGGGCAACATATCAAGACCTCGTTTCTTTGTAAATAATAAAAATGACCAGACATGGTGGCACATGCCTGCAGTCCTAGTTAATTGGGAGGCTAAGCCCAGAGGACGCTTTGAGCCCAGGAGGTCACGGCTACAGTGAGCTATGATGGAACCACTGCATTCCAGTCTAGGGGACACAGCAAGACCCATCTCTAAAAATATTAAAATTTTAAATTAAAAAATGTATTACCCTTTAATCCTCCTTATACTTAAGGAGGTAAATACTGCTTTTACCATTTTGCAGATGAGGAATCTGTGGTATCCTGAGATTCAGTCTGGTTCAAGGTTACTCATCTAGTAAACTGCAGAGCTGAGAATCAAACCAAGACAAGGCTACTGAAGGGATGAAGCAATAAGAGCTAAAAGAACAAAACTTTACCCTACAGTAAACAGGAGAGAAAACAATACTGCCCTCAAACATCGCTTTCTATAGTAACAGTGAGAGCTACAAGAATCTGGGGCGTTCAGTATGTATTTTTGAAATTACTGAGCTTCTGCAGTATTCCACTGAGCCAGTTACAACAGAGACACACTCATCTACTATAAACCTGGCTAGAAACCAACACCTCCAACAGGCTGACTCTGAACCCAGAGTTACAGGAGGTCCAGCAACTGTGTCCATCCTCAGACTCACAGGCTCTCTCCTCTCATCTCCTTCCCAGCAGCTCCTCTGTCTCTCATTAACTGCAGCCCAACGACTCTGCAAAAATGACCCTTGCTTACAAACTGAGTGAGGTTTATACCTGCTGTGCTGATGGCAAGAAGCTTGGTGAAGAGAATAAACACTATAAACCAAATCTCAAGGGGAAAGGGAGAAAACATAGAAACAAAGCTTTAAAAAAATACTTTAGAACCATTGATTTACATCTAGGTGTTCTGCTAATTACAAATACATTTAAAGCTGCTGTCTAAACATGGTTATTTGTACAAGTTGCTGCCTAGTCAAAATAACTTCACAATATTACTACATTTTCCCATTAATAATCTATACCTCAGCCCATTTTATCCTGTGTCAGGTTTAGTTAGTAAGAGCCTACTATACTCTTCCCTATAGCATGAGCCTCTCTTCTTTTATAGAAACTAGGGTATTTGAAGCATTTTAGGCAGACATATATCAGAAAGAAAATAGTTTTCTAAACAAGCCAAATTACTAACAAGATAAGTAATTATTAAAATAACCATCCTGACCCCTCAGAGCTGTTCTAAGGGTTAAAGGTGGTGTAAGTAAAGCAGGGATCAGGTTGTTTGGCATCATAACTGGCGACTTCATCATCATAAAAATGAAGTGACTGAACCTTTTTAAAAGAGCTTTGAGATATAATTTACATACTGTAAAATTTGCCCATTTTAAGTGTACAGTTCAACAGATACTAGTGTATTTACTGTGTTTTACAACCATCATCACAATCCAAGTGGATTAGACCTGTGATTTAACTTTTAATTTCTATAATTTAACTTTACTTGTCATTTAAAATTAGGCAAGCAAAAACTGCCAATGTCCTCCAGTTCAAAGGATGAAAGGGACTTTGGTTTCCCACCTTCTGAGGGCAACAGGCTAACTTTAAGTAAGACAACCCTCACTTGAAAGGAGAAAAAAAATGCTTGTGTTGTTGAGAGCCTTGTTGTCCTTTTCACAACTTGGCAACTTGATTAAGCCACAAAGCAACACACAGCTTCTCACTTCAACTCAGCACCACGCATGGGAGGGCAGGTCATGGCAGCAGCAGGAGAGAGAAATTTTTTAGGAGAAGTTTTAAATAATTAAGATACTGAGAGATGCTACTTGCTGAGCAGGGACTTAGTCCCAGGTGCCTTACAAAGCATCTCATCTAGTGCTGATGTTATTCCAATTGTACAGATGTGGGGAAAAGGAGAACTGAGCCTGAATCCATAGAAGTCAAGCGTCACCCCCTGAATCTTATAGTTCATTAGTGACAGAGCAGAAAGAAGCCACGCCACAGATGAAGAAAGTGAAAAGTGAAACCCTCAGAATTAGAATCACTGGCGTAAGGTCATGTGCAAGTGGCAGTGGCAGAGGCAGGGAGGAACCCTCTGACTCCAGAGTCCACAACTTTTTCTGCTCTGCAGAGCTACAAGGAGCAGAGACTCCCAGATCTTCTTCTGAACTGGTATGTTGGTGAAACCCCAGCCCCGGGCAGCTGCCAGTACTCACGGCATGCCTGTGCAGCCCTGATGCACAGCTCCTCTGCTGTGTACTCTCCACTGCCCAGCTGGAGGGGCTCCCTGTCCGACAGATAGAAGATCACTTCCACCCCTGGCTCAGGGGCCTCCAGCTTCACCTCGGTCTTCTTGGAGCTCCTCATTTTAGCACAGAAAGCCATGGCATTGCAGTCCTCTTTTATATTTAGATACTGTTATGGAAGAAAAACAAGACTATGTGGTCATTCTATGTGGTAAAAGTTCTTATGACAAAAGAGAGTGTTCTGAAAGTAAAAAAGCAGAAACATCTGGTGTTAGTGTTGGATAAGTACCTCTTCCCTGCCCCTTCCCTTCCTGGAAACCAAACATGTCAGATCTTATGAGAGATGAAACCACGGAAAATAATTAATTACGCATACTAACTAATGAATTGTAATTAATTAAATATTTTGGAAAATACAGTCAGATCGTATTTTCAAAAATCAGAATAATTTTAGACATGGCCTGAATTTATCTTTCCTGTTTGTACACAAGTTGTAACTAAAAAATGTGGTCCATTCTGGAACCAATGATGTTAAAGGACTGGTTATTAGTTACTAATTCTGCTGCTATTTCTACAGGAATCACATAAGCTTTGAACAGACTTATGTAAAATCAACAGTTTAATTTCATGTCCATCTCCCACTAAACAGCAAGCTTGGTGAGGTCATGAACCATATCTTACCTCTCTTCACATCCCCACCTGAGACAGTACACACAAAATGATGACCAATTCATGTTTGAAGGTCACAGGGAAGGCCCATAACAATTAATGAATGAAGCCAGGTTCCCATCACCCCAGGAGGAGGGGCAGGACCTTGAAGCAGCAGCAGGAGGGGAGGAAGAAGCCCTGCTTTGGAATACTTAGAAAACCCTGGTGGGAAACTTGCAAGTAATTCACATAAGCACCCTCCAAAGGGAGGCCAATGAGGACCAAAGATCCAACCTCAGCAACTTAGCCTTGGGCAAGGCCAGAAAAGAGGAAAGAAACAAGGGAAAGCCTTATGCATTGTTTCTTCTTCTTGCCCATTACCAATGGCCTACAAACTAATTTGCTCACCTCACACTCCTACTGGTTTCTTCCTGTCTGCCAAGCCAACCTTCACTAAACCCCTAAAGCAATGTCTCTGTAACACATATCAGATCCTGCAAGGGCTTCCCATTAATCTACAGAGCAATTCTGAGACTCTGAAACAGAGCCCCTCCACCACCCAATTATCTGGCTAGTCAGCCTTCCTAGCCTTATCTTCTAATCACTCTGAGCTTCCTGCTTCCTGCTTGAAACCCACAAGACTGTCACTGTTACAGTATCCTCCCTTGCCCAATGCTGTTTCTTACCCTTCTGCCATCACTCACCCTGATTCCTCTATAGGAATACCTGTCCTCCATATCCCATGCATGGCAAACTTCAACTTTCTTTAGAATTTAGCTTAGATATCTCCTCCTGCAGGAAGCATTCTCGAACCTCCAACCCATTACCTAAGGCCCTCACTTCTTGCTCCTAAATTTATCCCACTGCACTAACCACAGGAAATTTGAGCATCTTGCTCACAGGCCTATCTGTCTTTCTCGCACATGGTGTGAGTTCCTTGAGGTAAGAACTGAGTCATTTGTCTCTATATCCTGTAAGAAGCACAGAGGCCTACACATAGTGGGTGCTTGCAGAATGACCCAAGGAGGGTCCCCCAAATAAGAAAAGTCATATAGGACAGACAGCAGTCACAGTTCTCTTTACAAAATTCATTCTCTTGGTCTATTAGCTGCCCTGGTGAGAAAAGATGCTGAAAAGAGGGACATTAACCAGCTATTTCTCAATGCCACAAACTGAGAGGTATTCAATTTTAACCGTTTAATTTCCAAATATATCTGAAGACCAGAATCTTCTGGAAACCAGCCTGAAAGAGTAAGCTCATAATTTACCTTGAAATTCAGATCAACAAGCGAGACCACTTGAAAACCCAGCACTGAACCCCTAACCAGCACTTTCATCCCACACTGAAAAACTGTGATGGAAAACAGGGTAGCTAAAAGCTTGCTTTATAATGTAAGATAAACCTTTGTCCTTGAGATTCTTTACAGACATGACAGAAAGAATTCAAAGACAGTGTTATACCCTTTAACTATAAGGAAATAAACAGGCAAATGCATGTAATTATATACTTACAAGATGGGGTATTGTTTGAAACAGGAAAAAATCCAACTAACAATGTCCAATAGGAGAGGACTCACTAAACGAAACAGGCATATCAACACCCAGGACTACTATATGGTTGTCTAAAAGGATAACATAAAGCTGTATGTGAATCAACACAGAAAGATGCACAGGACATTCTGCAAAGTGGAAAAAGCATAATATGGATATTATGATCTTGCATATGCACAGGAAGATTAAAATCTGGAAGAACATACAATAAACTGTTAACAGTGGTGAGCACCTAAGACAGATTATAAGGGAAGTTTAACTTTTGCTCTTGACCTCCTATACTTTTGTACTTGAGATTCTTTTTTTAACCAGCATAGTCAACATTGGGAATGAATAAATATTTATTTAATCAGTACCACTGCCTTTAATTTAAAATTTTTTTTTAAATTAAAGGCAATGGCTTGGTGCGGTGGCTCAAGCCTGTAATCCCAGCACTCTGGGAGGCCGAGGCGGGTGGATCACAAGGTCAAGAGATCGAGACCACCCTGGTCAACATGGTGAAACTCCGTCTCTACTAAAAATACAAAAAAATTAGCTGGACATGGTGGTGCGTGCCTGTAATCCCAGCTACTCAGGAGGCTGAGGCAGGAGAATTGCCTGAACCCAGGAGGCGGAGGTTGCGGTGAGCCAAGATCGCGCCATTGCACTCCAGCCTGGGCAACAAGAGCGAAACTCCGTCTCAAAAAAAAAAAAAAATTTAAAAAATAAATTAATTAATTAATTAAAGGCAATGGTACCGATACCCCTACAGACTCAAGAACATGGTTTCATCATTTTTTTAAAGCCAGATTAAAGTGGGGGGGGGGGTGCGCGCGCGTGCACGAGCGTATGCACGCGCACAAATCTACATACCTGCATTTATTCAGCTTTCCAATGTTCCCCAAGAAGCAGACTGGATTTTCTTCTCTACTTTCCAAAGCTTCTTCAGAGCAGAGCTAAAGACAAAAATTAATAAATCAGTGGCAGAGGTAATTGCATCTGAAAATAAGAGGGCATTTTCATTAAGGAAGCAGCCCAAACCATAAGCAGGCAAGAAAAAGCATTTGGGAGGAAGAAGGAAAAAAACAAAACAAAACAAAATTACTGATGAGGACATCAAGAGGACAGAGACATCTTAGGGTATAAACATCAAAGAGGATACTAATTTCACTGCATCGAGAAAGGAAGCCAGGGATTTCGGCTTCCTAGCATGGAGTGTCCTGTCCAATAAAAGTGAAGACTCTATGCTTTTTCCATCAACAACCCCTCTCCTGATGCTGTGAACAATAGTTTAGGACATCCAAAAATGTGCACTTTTATTTCTCATTCCCTTTAGAATTACCCTCCCCCAACCTTGTCCACACACACACACACACACACACACACACACAGAGAGAGAGAGAGAAACTGTGTTTTGTATTATTTTAACTGTTTTCCCTGTTGCATGTCACACATTCTTTAACAGTAGAATCAAATTATTTTTGCAAATAACAAGCTCCCAAACTCGGTGATTCAAAATTGGTTCTCAAGTTAACAGTGATTATCCCCTCAGTTTTCTGTAGACACTCAACACATTTTATCAGAATACAGTTTTAGGAAGAGCACAGTACCAGGCATTAGAGGGCAGCAGTGGAGGGGGAGAGGGAGATGGGTTATCTCCGAGGCCACCAGGCCAGCATCCCCACAGGGCCTTACAATAGAAGGTTGGAGACAGCACAAATGGAAGCACAAAAGCAACCTAAAATCGACAGCATGAGTGCGTCAGGATGTTGTTAGCTCTGGTGACTAACACTGGCAAGTGCTGGTTTGGGAAGGCTTTCTGCAGTGAGCAAGACTTAAGCAATAAGTATCCCTGGCAGGAGATACAAGTATGAATTTGATTGTGATTACTTTGATTTGGCTATTTTGGTATGATCAATTTTAACAAGATTAAAAAACAAATCGTTACACAAAAGCTTTTTAAAAATTAATATAATCAATTGTTCTAATTATGTGAATAAACACCCTGCCCTGCCTCAAAACAGCAATTAGAAACTAGCTACATGCTAATGCCTTGCTTCTGCTTAGAAGCAGGACTTGGGACAGTACACTTAAGAGATTCATTCATTCAGCAAGTATTTTTGAACAACTCTGCAAAAACTAAGTTAACTCAAAGGACAAGGGCAATATGATCCCTGCCCACATGGAGCTTACAGTCAATAGGAACAATGGAATCAAACCAAGATGTACAGGAAGAGGTCATTACAAAGAGCTAAAAATGCTATGAAGGAATATCAGAGAACATAAAATAGAGGGAATGTGATCTGGTCTGGGGTTCAGGAGGGAAGGCACATTGAGCTAAGATGCAATGGATGTCCAGGGAGATGGGGCATGAAGCCCACTGGGAGAGTCTCAGCAGAAGGATCAGCATGTATGGTGAAAAAAGGCCCTGGTGGCAGAAAGGAGCTAGGCTGGTCTCTCCAGTTGCTTGAATAGAAAAACCTCAACAATACTCCTTTTTACACTTGGACACCCAACAGCGCTGGTCAGTCCATAGGCAGTGCTTGCTAACTGCATGTCTGGTGCCTGTCTACCCCAGGTTTCCCCACAGCACACCATTACCAGCTGCCAGGGATGAGTGAAAACTAACCAGAGGGGAGTACTGCAAAATATGCCTCAAACCATGAAAGGGTCACAAACTCAGAGCCTTTTAGGACAGGAAGAGACCTGTAAATTCCACCATGCCCAGGCTCCATTCAGAAGGGCTACCACATAAACCGTTTTACAACTTACAAAGTGTTTTAATATGCACCATTAGACCATGTGTTACTTCAACTTAGGAGTCATGGAACTTCTCTGAGCCTCAAGTAAGATTCAAGGATCCAACTAAAATCACTAAGATTCTTCTAGAACTAGAATTCTACAAAATCAGTAATCAAGGAGATTGTGGTTTTCCAATCATTCTGTCTCTTCTGCAAGCAATACTATGTTGCAATCACATTATACCTAATCTTCAAACTGATCTCCACTATTACTGAACAGGACAGTAAAATGGTATCGATTTGTGATGCTTAGCCTAGAGATTAAACTTTGAGAAAACAAGAGTAGCAACAGAATTTCTAGACAATATGCATTAACTATGATGCTTTTGAATCCCGATTCAATAACAGCAAAATCTCTACTCTTGAGGATTTGCCATCCTGAAGATAAAAATAGAAAACACTCACATAGCACTTAGAAGACATGGTAGGCACGATTCTAAGCACTTTAAACGTAAGGCTTCTGATCCACTTTATACGAAATGACAACTGTCCTCATTCAGGATGACAAGTGTTTTTGGTTTTTGTTTTCTGTTTTTTTTTGTGCTACAGCATTTGTGTAATGACTTCAACAAATAATATTTCATCTAAAATAAACCAGAAAACATGATCTAGCTGATTATTTTTAGAGCAGGTAGAAAAGGAGTAAGATCAGTTTATATTAATAAACACTTTGGATAATTCCAAGAAATAAATTCAAGTTTCTTGCTGCAATATACAAAAGGAAAAATCATCAATGCTAGAAAGATTCACCAGGAGGAATCACAAAATACTCTTTAAAAAGAACATGATTCACTGGGTTCAATTACCAACGCAAATGAATATAAAGATGCTTAGAAAACAGTAAAGACCAGGATGAGTAATCAGAAGCCTTTTGATGATAGCAGTGAATTCTTCCACCCTGATTTATTTATAAAACTGTCAAGGATTTGAAAGAAAATACCTTTCTTTTGGTGACAGAGGATTACTTTTGTAGCTCAATTTTGTAGGTGCTGCTTTACATGAATAAAAGGGAAATTTGTGGATTACTCAAATTGCTTTAGTTTATCACAGTCTTATGAAAGAGACAAGTATATGTGACACTTTTTCAACAAGGGAAAAAATAAAAGAAACAAAACACAATTCTGTGAGATGGAACAAAGCCTCACTGCAGTAGATAAAATGTCACAAATGTTTTCAAAAATACAAAATTCCAGAAATCTGTCTGAAAAAACTGGAACTCTCTTAAATTTTCAAGAACATCTTTTGAAAGACTGGTATCTGTGCAAGGGAAGAATATACAATTACATTTTAGATAGCAGGCAAAGAAATACAAAGAGACTATTTTAATGTTCATATATATGACTGTCAGAATGAGACCCTTTGGTCTCATAGCAGGATCGGCAGGTCACCACTGCTCCTCCAAAGCCACTGTGCCACCTCTCGCTTCTCCCCAGTCTGCCCCAGTTTCCCCTAGCATTCAGAAGGGCTGCTGCCAGATTTTTACAGTTAAACAGACTGGTTGACAGTGAAAATCAATGACAAGAATTAAAATATTATGGATATCTGATTATTTTCACTAAAGAAACCATATAACGAATTACTTTGTGTTTGCCATAAAGGAATCAAGGCTTTTTATTTCTGAAGTAGAAAATGCAAATGAAATGTTGACGAATTAAGGTATGAACTCAGAAAAGCTGAAAGAAAAACATGTAATTTAGAAAATGCCTTAAAATCAGCTTAATTATCTTAAGAAATTTTAAGACTAAATACCTTAAGCCTTAATAAACTATTTCAGCAGGCACCAGTCTTAACATTGGTGAGGAAACCTAATACAACAATGTAAACTACAGGAGGACCAGGGGTTTTTTTATCTTTTGTTTAGTGCTTTATCCTCAGCACAAAATCAGGTGATCAACAAGTATGTTCAATTAACAGCTGCAAATGAAAGATGAAGGTACAAAGTAACATCATGCAATGAAAAAAGCACAGTAATCCAAGGAATACAGGTTCTCACTGACTATTCTAGTAGCAAGTGTGACCATAAGCAAGTCACTTTCATCTGAGCCAGTTTCCCTATCTACTAACCTAAGAGGAAACATCCTGCCCAAAGGGTTGGTGTAAGGATTAAAACGACCTTTCAGTGAGAATTTGAGGCAGGAGGATTGCTTAAGCCCCAGGAGTTTGAGTCCAGCCTGGGCAATTTGGTAAGACCCTGTCTGTTTTGAAAGGAAATAAAAAACTTTCAAAAACTCTTCATCAAGTATCTACAATGCCCTTTTGCAAGAGGCTATAGATGTGAAAGTGTCCAGAAAGGTGTTGATACAATATAACATAGTCTATGGCAGAGGACTAAAGTGGGCTATTAACCTGCTTCCAAGAGCAAAGAATAAATAGGGATTCTGACCAAAACTCTAGTTACAAATCAAAGCCCCATTTCATAAAGCTTGGATGACACAGCAAAGCAGTTAAGAGCATGGACTGAGGTCATTGTAACCTGGGTTTGAATTCTGATGTCTCCACCAACTAGCTGCTGTAATCTTAGGCAAATTAGTTAATATCCCTAACCCTCAATGTTTTTTGTGTAAGTGGGGAGATAAAAATAGCATTTATCTCACTGGGCTGTTATGAGTTAAATCCGTTAATGCATGCAAAGTGCCTAACAGAGTTTAGCATGCAGTAAGTACTCATATTTTGACCATAAGTCGTTAAATTGATTACAGCTTGATGGAATACAGTTCCAGTCAAGGAGGGGGAAAAAAACCCAGTATGTACTAAGCATTTCAATATCTTATGCCTGGAGTTAGGCACTTGCACTTAATTCCCATAAAAAGCAAGAGAGGTTTTAAGCTAATCAGCAAGAATGCCAGGAGTCAAACATGTCCTGATTCCAAGGGCCCTGCTCTTTCCACAGCAGGGAAGAGCTGCTCTAAACTCTCCCCGTCACCAACACCGCTGTCTTCTCTGGATTTTTAGTACTTTCCATAGTCTAACAACCACCAGGAGACGGACCTTACTCCAACACTCTTCCTTCTGTAGACTGAAAGAACCGTCATTAAAAAAACCATTGAAGCGCCCCCAGCCTTCCCTGTGTTCCTGCCCACTGCTAACGCTCTGCTCTGGCACCACCGCTGCAGTGTGAGAGGAAAGTCTTAACAGCATGTGGACAGGTCCATGTC